TTGGCGAGTTATTGATCACTGAGGTCATCAGTTATTAATTTTAGCTCAGTATAATGATTTGGAAGTGGGAACCTGGCCCAGAGCCTCACAGGGACAACAAGTCAGGCAGGAGAGACAAAGCTCAGAGCTATAGTTCAGGTACTTAATCACCTATTTTGATTTGCACTTGTGCAGCACCTGGCTTTTCCATCCAGGACTGGACTCACACACTATTGAGATATGAGGAAAGAAAGGGAGAAAGACAGACAGAAAATACCATTAGCCTTGAGCCAAATCCTGGAGTCACCATGGAGTTTTTCTTAATTAGGCACTATTTTCTTGTCAGCCTCAGAAACGAAGTTCTGTTCAAGTTACACAAGATTATTTTTAAGAGCTGCTAGTGACCAAATATGTAAAGTACTGTATGAAATTCCAGACTTGAGATGATAATTGCCTACAGCCACCATCGTCACATTTCATTCAGTAAGTGAATCTGTACTGGGAACACACCGTACTTCTCAGCAGTAAGACAACAGTATTTTACACGACAAGCAAGTCCTCTTACCACTGTGTCCTGAGATAGGACACTGAAGCAAAATCACAACATCAGAAAATCACAACCAAAATCTAACTCAGCATCTGCCTCGTCCCACACTCCAGCCACTAACCTGACAGCCTGCAATGCAGGAAGGGGTGAGATGACTCAAACAGGTATCTGGTGCCTGCATGGTAATCCTGTCCCTTAATAAACTGCATTTATTAGTTTGACAACCTAAAAATAACTGGCTGCATGATACTGACCAACCCTAATCAAAACATTTGTAAGCCCATCTAGCCCGAGCTACCCTTTAGATCATGTGCCACCACTTCAAAGCCTGCGCATCAAGTCAGTAATTGTAACGTTGCATCTAAATATTTAAGCTAAGGGCTGGTAGTCGCGTGTCCCATTTACAGTCAGCATCTGTCCTCTAATTCCATTACAGTACAAAGCAAAAATGTTTCCCAAAACTCGCAAACAGGAAAAGCATCACACAGCTAGAGAAGGAGCAGCAGCTTGAACTTTTCTAGCTGCTGAGCAGGGCTTTTGTGCTAAGGTCCTTTTTCTTTCCCCCCCTTCAAGCTCCCCACATACACACACAAAAATAGGGGTGGTGCCGAAATTGTATTAATGTGAGCCTCAGGCACACAGAAAAAAAAGAAAAGAGGAAGGGGAGGGAGAGGGGGGAAGGGTTTGGTCCAAGATGAAAGTAAGAAGGAAATAAAGGAGGCAATTTAGTCTGCTGTAGCCTGAATTGCTCTCAGTACAGCCAAGGGTAGAGGCTTGGGATGAGTAGGGCCCTTTTTGGACGGGTGCGCATGACTGGGGGAGGATCTGCCAGGACAGGGCCCGGGGGGCCAATTCCGCCGGCCGGGAACAGAGCCCCCTTTGAGGCCGGGCAGGGGGTCCCGGCCCCAGCCCCAGCCAGCGCCGCCCGCTCGCAGCAGGCACGATGACCAGCTCTACACCCCATGGTTTGGGCGCTGAAAAGCACCAGTCTGTGCCAGAAAACAACAGCTATCTTATGAGGGGGGAGTTATCCCATTAGTCAGCAAATCACGCTGCGAATAACTGCCGCTAAAGGTACAAGTGACTCCCTCTTCTGTAGTGGTTATGCTAAAAATATGCCCTGATGTACCATATAAAGGCACAAAAGTTTCTCTTTTATGTTCTTTATTTATGACTTCTGCCTTTAAGAAAAATATATCACGCATGCAGACATACAGATCTGCTATTTAGAATCATAAGCTTCCCGATACGCACTGTGATTATTGAGGTTTTCTTTAAATATATATATCTAAAATCAGGGTGGAGGGTGACACTGACAGAAATGCTGAAATACAGCGAAGTGGGCTGAACATGTGGAATCTGCAAATGGCAGTGAGAGATTTAAGTGTCTGTAAACAGAGGCTGAAACAGAATTAAAGTGGGGCATATGAAAGTTTACCTACACTTATCTATGTGATGGGAGAAATCCCAAGCCACATAAGGTACTGTTTCTATCACATGTTTTTCAAAAATATAATGTTTCTCTTTTCCCTAATCCCACTCTGCTGTAAATACTCCCCAAATTTGGAATTAGCTACCATTAAAATCAACAATTGTTATCCTTTCCCTCAGAAAAAATGTTTCTCCCCATGCCACCAAAACACCCATGGTGAGGAGGGGATTTCAGGCAACACCAGCACAAGTCCAGCGTTAGATGTGTGCTCCTGAGCAGGAGGATGATTCTCCACCCCACTCTCAGCCCCAGGACTTGCTTTCCGACCTCACCAAAAGCTTTCCCTTCCCTGTAGCCAGGTTCCTGCTACTGGGATACCTTGAGTCCCTGAGACCAGAGCTATAAAAATTACTCAAACCATAAAAGACTCCAAAATAATGCACTTTTTTCACTCCGTAACGCAGAGCTCTCAGTGGTGAGCTACTGCAGGAGGGTTTGCTGCACACTGCTGGGATACCCTTTGGGCATACCGCAAGCAGCACCCAGGACACCCTGCCAGCAGCACCTCTGCCACACCAGGGCTCGCACAAGGGCAGGTGGGTGCTGGCAAACACGATCCCGCAGCACCAAAATCGTCAGGAGCACTGACAGTCATTTTGGTAAGAGAGCAGGACCTGACCTGGGGGTTTTTATAGATGGGGTGAAATGGAAGCTCCTCTGCTGGCAATGGAAGTTGGAGCAGAACCTGTTTTGCTGACCAGGTATAGAAACTAGTGGTAGATTTATATTTTATGGTTGTTTTTTCTTGTGCTGAGCTTTCTGGTGTGTTGTCCCTATAGTATGACACTATACGTAAGACGTGTATGGTAACAAATCCTTTCTTGAGCAGCAGCTCATTCACACCACAGCATCCCGACCACTCCAGTAATAAGATTAAGCAACAGCTTGCTGGTCAGGGAGGGGGGGAGTGGGTGTTGCTGTGGGAAAGAGCACTCTCCCTCCAACTGCCAAACCTTCCCAGGCACTGTCACCGAACAGACGGGATTATCAAGCTGCCATTTGCGTAGAACTGCCCAGCCACGTTCATCCAGCAAAAACCTGTGCACAAGAACAGGATAGGGCTGTACTACCCTACTCAGTCATGGTGAATTTTGCCACTGACTGAACTCGGAAGAAGAAAAGTAACACACTCATGTCCACAGAAAGTAAAGGAGAGGATATGTCAGAGGTCAGAACACAGCCTCCTAATACAACCGTCCGGGGGAGCACGAGCGAGCCCCACTTGCAGCAGGGCACTGCCAGCCCTGGTGCTTTTCCTGAAAGTCTCAGGGCTACCCCAGGCTGGGGGGTGGTAGCCTCATGCCCAGACACTGGTTTAAGGTAGATCAGGAGCCCCGCTTTAAAGAGCAGAGAGTCAAAGAACAAGAAGAGTATTTCAAAGAGAAGTAGAGGCATGGGTTATACTGATAATATTTTTTCTCTCACTGTCACTAGTAATTACTTTTTGTTCAATAAAGCAGGGATGTTATCAAGGCTTCCTATCTTCTGTTTTTAATCTCGGTTGAGAAATTCAGGAAGGCAGAAAAGTTAGATATTTTAAAACAACTAGGACACTGAGTTTAGCTATTTTTGCCTCTCAGAACAATTCTCTGTTGCAGGAGGTTCTGATTTAAACTCTGTGACCCATTGTACAGAGGCAGCTAGACTGGGCAACCAAACTGTGCCTCTTGCCTTAATGTATCCCTTCAGTAGCATCTTCTGCATGTTTGTATTACACACAAACACGCCAACACAGTCATACAGAAGATCAGGCTTCCCTGAAAGCTTTAGTAACAGAGTTGAAAACTAAGTTTTGGGAGTGTTTTTGGGTTTGTTCGTACACAACAAGGAGATATCCTACTTTTAAAGAATGGGTTTCAGTTGTCCTTGACTGGCACTCACCATCTCTAAATGTCTAGAAATGCTAGAAACATTTTCTAGGTAAAAACAGCTACTTTTTCCACAGTGGAGAGTCCATAAAACTGTGTGGAGCATCAGCTATTAGGGGCTCATTGAATAATTCATCCCTCATTGCAAGCCCATAATGTCTTTTCTGGGCCTTTTGTGGGGCTGTTTTCTCTTCTTTTCTCCTTGAATTATAAAAAGGTTGCCTTCTTTTGTTCACATCAAGCTGCTGCTAGCTGAAGCTTTGTCTGTGCAAAGCCAAAGTGTGAGTTTCAATGGACTCCCCCCTCTTTGTTTTCCAAGTTCATCTCCAAGTGTAGATTGTGTATAGAAGGCCTTCTTTGTAAAAGCTGGAAAAGTTGTACAAATGTTTGACCAGCTCATTTGGTACTTTTGTCTCGCCTTCACCAGTGCCTGTGCATGTGCTGGGCAGCCACTTCCACCCACAGGCCGCCTGCCCAGGCCCTCGCTTGCCCCTCTGCTCCAGCCGGGCTGGGGAGCCGGGCAGGACCATGGTGGGGGCAGCAGCTGCCCCCTGAGCTGCCCTTCGCCTGCGCCTTGTTCAGGTTGCAACCTCCTCGCAGCCCCTGGCCAACCACAACACAAGCTTTTCCCAGCAGTTTTATGAGAAGAAACAACACATGCGTCTCCCTGCCCTGGCCACGGCCGCAGAGGCTGGAGGCTCCTCAGCCTTTGGCTACAACTGTCTGTGCAGCTGCGGCCTTTAGCTCTGTCGGGCTGGCCAAGCAGCCTCTGCGCAGCTGTGCGGGGGCTCTGCCGCCAGCTCCGGCCCTCCTTGCTCCCTGGCCCCCGTCCCTGCTATTGAAAGACAAAGCAGGGGCAGCCCCCATCTTTGCCCCCACCTCCGCGCCATTCCCACACACTGCAGGGGCACAACACCCACGAAACGGGACAGGATGGGACATGGCAGCCGCCCTGTCAGGGCTAGCTCCTCACCCTACACCTCCCGCTGCACTGGCCCCAGCACAACCTCCAGGAGGAAGAAGAGGAAAGGGGGAGAGCAATCCCACCAGCACCTCAGGCTGGCAGGGGCTGGTCCCAGGGCTCTATGGACAGCAGGGGGAAATGGGACTTTACCTCTTTCGCTGAGGATGCCGTCAATGCTGTGCTTGGCCTTCTTGTCACCTTCCTCCCCCTCCTTCCTTTCCAGCTCAGCCTCCTCTTCCTCGCCTTTCCCAAACTTGCTCCGTAGGATGAGACTGATG